TCCCTTTTCCTCCTTGATGAAGTAAGCACTTTTGAAGAACAGAGCAAAGAGATTAGAAAACATATTCTCCACTTCCTGCCATTGCTTCATTTCCAGGACAACATGTGACAACATCGCTGGCCTTTAAAAGTGAAGACAGCAGTGTGGAGGGCCTCTGCGGAAGGTGTCTTTTGGAGGAGGTCTTCTCCTCTTGGGTCCCTCTTTGTAGGCTAGCACATTTATAATCAGATAGTGTTTGGGATGAGGGAGAAACTTTCTTTCTGCAAGAACTGTTCTTCTCAGTCCTTTAGGATGTGGAAAGCTGCTGTGTTATCTTTTCTTTTCACTTTGATTTCTTCTACAATGGATCATGTATCCACTTCTTTAGGGGAATTGATCCTTCACTGTATGTATCTCCTATAATTCCAAAGAGGCCAGTCTCCTGCAGGAGACTGCACAGGCCCAAAGCCCTTCTTTCCTCCTTTGCTTAGGACTGACTTCCTTGCCATAGGTGAGGTGGAAGCCGGACTGCAGGATTTCCTTCCCCAATTCTGGAAGGACCCACATCTGGGGAGCGCTCACTGGTCCTTTACCAGGACAGCCTATACTCCCTGAATGCACTACTGTAGCAGTACCCACTGCAATAGCACTGAACGTCAGGCTGTCTCTTTTATAAAAGATTTGAGCACAAAAAATTTGTGTCTGCTCCCAGCTTAAAAGAGACTTGAGGCCTATAGGGCTGAGCTGCTCCTTTACATAGGACAGCTGTTTCTAACTGCATGCATCTGCATCTTATATCTCTGCTCTCCTACATCAGGGTTTCTTAAAGCAAACTCAAGGTCAGGGCTTGGGCATGGAGCCAAGCACTTTTCTTTGGAGCATTCTGTTCCCCTGGGTTAAGAATTTCCATATATGGGGCAGGCAAAGCTGAAGTTGGACTGTGATAAACCATACTGCTTTGTGGGCTCAACTGTTTGTCCTAAAATCTTAGCCAGACAAAATGCCAGGCTGATGCTCATAGTCACTAAAATCCATTTGTAGTCAACAATGGTTCACTGCCAAGTGCCAGCTGAGCGGAGAAATGCAGGATAAGGTACACTTGAGGACTGTCTCAGGGAGAAAGAAAAAGGATTTGAGCCCCTCTGTGGCAAGCAGTCTGTTTCTCACATAATTTTACTGGATTTTGCAAATGGAGATACTAAAAATCAAATACAAAAAAATTTCATCCACATATCATGCAGTGGTAAAGCGACCAACTAGAGGGTTAGCCTGGGTTTTCTGAGTGCAGCAAGAGCCTTGATGTCACAGTGCAACCCCTAAACAGCAAGTCATTCGACAAACATTGAAGAAGTACTTGGCACCAGGCATGCTGATGACCACACCTCCAGGCTGCTTCCATCAATAGAAAGCAGATGTTGAGAGCAAATGTTTTTCAATTGGTCCATCCCTGACCACTCGGTTACCTTAACACTCTCGGACCCTGAAAGCTCAGGAGCCTCAGGTCTGTTCATTTTGTAAGTTTCCAAAAATGCATAGCCTCTGAAGCTGGGCTCTTCCAGTCATCAGCTTATATGAAGGACTAACGGGTTTCCCTTAGGAACTTCCAGTGCTCTACTCGCTGGTCCCCTCTTTGGTGAGAGGGCTATTCAGCGAGTCTACTTTGAGCTGTTTTTATATCCAGTCTATCCAGGCTGGTTTTCCAGGGTAATTGAAATATTTTGAGGCCAGCAGACCCTGGTCTGCAGTCTTAGAAACATTCCTCTAATCTGCTTAAGGAATGGTAGCTTATGAATGGCAACTCTTAAGACAAATGAATGTAATTTAAGGAGCTATAGAGCCTTCCAAGAGGCTTGATAGCTGGTGTCAGAAAGCTCTTAGGAAGATGCTGACTTTCCCTTTTGGACTCTGCCTCTCCACTTTGCACAGACTCAAGTTTCCATAGCCTGTGGCCATGAGCTCTTCCAGGCCAGTGATTTATTTCTGCCACGTAGAGTTAGCGCAACCAGCTGGTAAAACCATTTGAGAAAGGCTGAATTGATTCTCATGACATGAGGTGTCGTAAGACTTATAACAAGTTTATGGACCTCCGTGGAAATCTGAGTCATTTTTCTTATCACCCATATAAAGGTTTTAAGGCAAGCAGATGAATTGCATAGAGGTGGTTATTTGGCAAGTAAGGAACATCTGGGCTATAGTCATAGCAAGTAAACTTTAGCCCGTAAAGGTGGGGGAGGGGAGACATGGACTTATCCACACAAATTTTGGAAAACCAACATTTGGGTTAACATATCTTTTAGAGTAGAGTCACAATAGCTAAATAGGCAAAGCTCTCCAATATTGCTATTTGATTATGCCTCTGGAGAGTTTCCTGGAGTTTCTAATAATCTAGAATGAATATATATATATATATATATATATATATATATATATATATATATATATATTTATGTTTTGAGTGGGGACAGCTTGGGATTGAACCCAAGGACTTGCACATGCTAGGTAAGAGTTCTATCACTGAGCTACAACCCAACCCATCCACATATTTTTAAATACCCAGATATGAGTATTTCTCAGGGTGCTTCCTACAGGCATATCAAAGCCTTATTCACAAGAAAAAGGTATATGAATTTTGTTTTGGTGCATTAGTTTTTGACTGTGTGAAAGAATTTGAGGGAAAAGAAAGTTCTGGTTGAAACACATTTAGAGAAGAAGTGAGCTTCCAGTTGGGTCATGGAGCTAGGGTAGAAATTACCTGGATGCAGGTCAGATGGGAAGCAAGAGTCAATGTGGCATGTAGGAACAAGGCTGGAGTGTGGGGAGAAATTTGGCATCCATTTTAAAAACTCAGTGCTAAAAGCTGTCTTCACCTTCTGGTAGTAAAACTCTTTCATCTCTGTTTTTAAAGCCTTGGGTCTCCGTTATTTTCATTATAGTTGGCTCCAGCCTCAAAGTAAGGCACATTGCCCTGAATATGCCATAAACTCTAAAATCCTGTGCCTCGGGTCAAGCCATTAGCTCTGCTTGTAGAGCTTTTTGTCCCTTCTCCCTGGCATTCTGCTCAAAATTTGGCCTCTAGTTCCAATGTGACACTCCCTCAGCCTTCCTCCTGTGGTCACTGAGGTATAGGGGTGTGATAAGCATGGGCTCAGAAGTGGCTCTCAGTGAAACTCTAAGTGTGACATGGCCATTCATCTCAAGTTCAGTTTAATCTGTAAAATAAGGAAATGACTTTGGGGGATTGTACTAGTGATGATGATTCTCCAGAAAAAACAGAACCATCAGGAGATAGATGATAGATAGATAGATAGATAGATAGATAGATAGATAGATAGATAGACAGACAGATACATACATACATACATACATACATACATACAAACAAAGATGAGGAATTGATTCACACAATTGTGTAGACTGAGAAGACCCAAGGAATGCATTGGCAAACTGGAGTCCCAGGAAAGTTGGGGCCTACAAAGCCCTGAAAACTAATAGTTGATGGTATAAGATGTAGTCCAAAATCAACAGGCTACAGACCAAAGATGAACCAGCTTTTCAGGTGAGTCTGAAGGAAGGAGAAAAGCAGACAGGCGTCTCCTCTAACTCATAGAAGGGTCAACCTTTTTGTTCTATTTATGCCCTCAACTGTTGAGATAAGGCCCTGCTCATTACAGAGGGCAATCCATGTAAATGTTGACCTCATCTAAATAATGTTTGGGCACCCCATGGCCCAGTCAAGTTAACTATCACCTGGGTTGAATGCCTGTAAAGCAGATATTTGTATCTAGTATATCTATTTCATCTGACAGTGTCTATTAACCAGGGTGAGAGCTGGAATGAACAGGAACCCCTTGCTTTTTAGCTGTTGCTGCTTTGCATCAAAGAATACTCAAAGTTGTTATTTATTCATTTAAGTGTCTTTGAATTTATAACATCAAAAATGAATTGGTTTGGGTGTAGCAGAGCAAGGAAAACAAAATACTGGAGGGTGGAGCCTAGAGCTCATAAAGGCATGAAGACAACGTGATAACCATTTGCATGGCACCCATGTGAGGATAAGGAATTTAATAACTATCTCAAACTGCAAAATGAATGAAATGATTTCATAATCCAGAACCCACATGCAACTAGTGCCTCTGTTTTTGCACACCTGTGAGGCTTCTCTAAGTGAGTTCATTTGGGAAAGCAACTCAAGAACACCTCCCTATTATTCAGCTATAGTAGTCAAGGGACAAGTGTATTGAGACTTCAAAGATCTATCCTAGCCCTTCAGTTTCCCTGGCCCTAACAAAGACAAAATTATAATCTGAAAACATATCCATAACATCCTCACATAGTTTGGGGATTCTTCTAATCAAAATAAACATTCCAAAACATTCTTTCCTTATCCATTGCCTCAGCTGACGCCAAATATGGTGAGACAATTCAAATGATAGGAAGCTACTAAAAGTTTCAACTTGAGATCCAAGTCACATGAATGCTGATTCCCCTACTTTCCTCTTTTGTCCCTCTGGCCCAGGAGCTCTCTGCTCCTGCTGTTGTGTCTCAGAGAATCTCATGAGAACTGTTTCTCTACAGGTGATTAAATAAAATTTACTTGTGCTGAATCAAGAAGACAGTGACAATAGCCATGCAGTGAAAGCATTTGGCAACTTCTTACTTTCAAATGTCATGTAATAGTCCTATCCCCCTGAGAAGCCCTAATTATGGCCAGTGCTACTGGACTGTGATTTTTCTCACTGTCAGAATTTGTAGTCCCTTTGTATATGGAGGAAAACATGTTTCTTTTTTTCCCAACCAAGAAGGACATCTTATCCTGAGAAGGAAGGTGCTGCTGCTAAAGCAGAAGTTCAAGGTGAGCAGAACGTTTTTGTCGAACTCAAACTCCATCTGATTCCAAGAACAGAAATAGATATTCTTATACTGGAAGCTTTGTAATATAACCCATCTCCATGAAAGACAAGTGTTTTTTTTTTTAATTTTTTAAAATATTTTTTATTTTGTATATGTGTGTGTGTGTTTAAAACGAGCTACCTATGCCAAATCCTGACTCTTGTGGATAAGTTGCATTTTCTCCAAGATGGAAAGGGTTTTGGGTGGTGAGGGACACTTGATTTGGGTCCAACATGTTAGGAGCTCAGAAGTTCTCATTCCGATCCTTAAATCTAGGGGAAAAAAAAAAGATGGACAAACTAAAAATCAACAGCTCTTCTTAGATCCATCAGAATTGAGGTCCCATGGCAAACCATTTCTTCCCAAACTGGAGAACCAGATCTGCAGGGACACAGAATGACTTTCAAGAATAGAAGCCCATGAGCACCAACCATCACAGGACCCAGGGCTGGGGTAGAAAATCTCCCTATAACTGATGAATTGTTCAAGGATCACTGTGGTCAAGTTGGAGAGGCAGAAACTCTACAGGCCTAGATTTCTGGGGGAAGGAGGAACCACACTTTTGTGGGTTTACCTCTAGGAGCCTTGACAGGTTCTTACAGAGAAGATAGGAGAAAACACCTCTTCTGCACCTGGCAGCAACAGGAGAAGAGCAACCATGGGGCTACAGCAGTCTAGCCTTCTCAACCAGGCTGCACGCCAAAGACATTTTACCAAAGCCCAAGATACTGGGGTTTATCAGAACCTAAACACTGCAGACTTCTCTGACTTTCCTATCTCACCTAAGTGGGAAGGGAAAAGCCAACACTGAGGAGGACCATGAAGACCACCCCCAGGCACAGGTTCACCTACCGACTGAGACTAAAAAAGACTAAGAACTCAGGAACTCCAGAATGTGTCCTGTTGCCTCTTAACTCACTACCAGGTCATCAGTCGCCCTGGCTGGAGGCTACAACTGGGAGAAATGCACACCCAAGACTTTATTTAAGGAGCCTCTAGAGAACCCAAAGATAACAGAGAACACACAAGGGAGGACACCAAAGAAAAGGTTAGCCTCTGCCACATACAGCCACAGCAACTGGTAGATACAGTTTGACCCCTAGCCAGATAGACACAAAATCCCATGTTAAAGTCCCTTTACCTTTTATCCAATTCATAACGTCCAACCTACAACAAAAATAAATAAGTAAATAAGTAAATAAATAAAAATAAACTTTTCTAAAAAAGGCATATTAAAAGATAAAATTTGAAGAGACAGAGGAAATATCAGAATTAGGTTCAGATATGACAAATATTGGAATTAATAGAAAAGGAATTTAATAAGAATTAATTGGGCTTTTCTTCAGAAATCATGTAAGCAAGAAGAGAATAGAGTGAAATATTTAAAATCTTGAAAAGCAAAAACCAAACAAACCCACCAACCTAGATTTTATAGCTCAGATCTTCATAGAGTATTAGGGCAGAAATAAATTAACATAAAATCTTTTGTCGACAGATTAAATGTATTTGACATAGTAGCAGCAATATGCCTGATTCTGTATTCTGGATAAGTGAAGCGGATGACAGAAATGCCATAAGGTATGGGAGGGAGGGAGCAAGAAGTAATCGCACTACTCAGGAGGGGGAAGGTGGTCTTCGAAAGAGGACTAGGAATAGTTGTAAATGCACACTGCAATTTGAAGAATAACCACTAATAAAAAAAATGAATGCAATTAATGTCTTATGAGGAGAGAAAATACAATTAACAGAATGCTCAATTAGAACCAGAGAAGGCAGAAAGTGGAAAACAAAGATGAAGCCGAAAACACAGGCCACTAAAAGAAAACAGTAGCAAGTGTGGTAGGTACTAACCCAACTCTGTCAGTCACTTTAAACACTAAGGGTCTAAAATACAATAATCAAAAGGCAGACTGTCAAAGTGCATCACAAAACAAGATCCAACCCTGGGCTGTCTGTAAGAAATCCACTTTCAATATGAACTTACTAATAAAGTAAAAATAAAGAAATGAAGAAAGAGATGCCATACTCACATGAATCCATTCTGCTTAGGTTTGTTCCTAGCTCTTTCATTTCTGTGTTAAAGGGACTCTTGTCAGGCCTGTATCTGTTTATTAATCAACTTAGCAAGTCTGGCAGGACCAAGCTTGCAGAGGGCAGTTCTAGACTCATGGTCATTTGGATCCCCTGGTCAAGGTATTCGGCAACATGACAACAACTGTTTTGGAAGGCATAGAATTGCCTTGCTATGGAGCAAGAACACCCATTTGCTTGTTTCAACAAACAGAAGGCAAACCCTGTGGTTAAACTCCTAATGTGTGTTTCGTATACTCATCTGATCACATCTGGCTACTACTTGCTCAGATCCAGGTCTTCTGTGGAATGCTGGGTTGAAATTTCTGGAGTATTTGCTCAAGGGAAGAAGGCTCCATGGAAGAGATAAAGGAAGTAGTCAGGTAAAAAGCCAAGCCTGCTGGTTTATCCCTGTGGTAGAATGACTTGACGTTTATATAGGAGAAAGCACCGCACAGTTGTGAAGTCTAGGTCTAACTGTAAGATTTAAAAAAAAAAAATTAATTGGCATAGAGTCCTCTTAGAACTGCGAAAGCCTAAGATACTAGGGTGTATCAGAACCTAGTCTTGGACAAATACTTCTAACAAGCCAGAATTAGAGAGAGAGACTATGAAGATGATAAATGATACTGGAAATAGTAAATAGCCCATTAAGCCTGAAAAGTTGGAGAGACTTGAGTGCTGCAAGAGCAGTCTCCTTTTGTTATGGTTCAAATGCTTTCTCCGCTTGGGGCTAGGAGAGGGACTATCTGCATGCAGTATGATGGAATGACTCTTAAAGGACTAATCCCATTTGCACCTTGCGTTTTTGGCTCATCTATGAAAAGGATGGAAAATATTACCCACTGTTTTCATGCTTAGAAGGCAGATTATTGCAGGATACCAAATTCTTGAAACTCCCCAAATGGAAATGGAAGGCCCCCTAATAGGATATAAGGCATCGTCAGACACACAGTTCATGTAAAAATGAACAAAGCAGCTGACTAATCAGTTGCTCACATGCAAATTGTCCCCCCAGGACTAACAGCAATTGCAGTTGGTGTTCTTATAATTCTGGGAAGCAGAAGACCATGGACGTTTCTCCTCAGACACTTATACCACAATAGAAATACCAGTCAAATATTGCAAGTTATAAAAGATAATGTAAAACAGATGCCTTCACCTTCAAAAGTTTAAGTTGGTTTTGATCAATGATGGGCTTATCTTAAACCTAGTGGAAAAGACATGAAAATGTTTAGCTTTTCTTCATGACTACTAAGACTTCTAAAAAGGAAGAAAAAGCTAAAGTATTGTCTAGTCATAACAAACAATTGGTTGGTTTTTTTTTTTTTTTTTAGAAATATGGAGCCTTAGGAATACAAAACAAGGAAACTGAGAAAGAACCTTGAAAATATGCCCAAAGCAATGAGCATATACCTATGATTTTCCAGGACTCTGGAAAGGGATCTCTAAGTATACTCTTTGAGAAATGCATCCTCTTGTCAGAACTTCTTGAGATCCCTGTGGTATGAGTTGTTGGAGAATATTTGTATATTCCTAATATACAAGTTCCCTAACTTAGTAGCAACAGCCTAGGGAGAAGCAAATAATGTAATAGCAGTGACATTCATGTTCTTTATGCCAAGCACTGTTAGGTCCTTTACATGGTGTCCCCACAAGCCCAAACAGCACATACCCACTTGACAAATGAGAAAATGGAGCATCTGAATAAGCACATGGGCGATTCTCACATTGCTGAGAATTAAACCTACATAATCTGACTCTGAGGCCCTTTCTCTTGACTAATCTGGTTTTCACAAGTCAGAGTTACCCAGCCTCTGGAAACACACGAGTTATGTAAATAAGTCATGAACAATGTTGTTATTCCTGATGCATTTTGACCACGGAATGCTGGGGAGGAACCTCATTGGGCTCTCTGTCAGCGTCAACTCTTGTGTCTCAGTCCTTTCTCCAGTGATGAACTATGGAATCATGATATCAGTAGTGATGAACTTCCAAGAGGAACAGTATCATCCCATCCCCAAGTATTTTGAAAACTCATGGGGTTAATTTTATTTGTCACAACCATGGGAGGCTGTAACTACTACAATTATCTTAAACCTAGTGGAAAAGACATGAAAATGTTTAGCTTTTCTTCATGACTACTAAGACTTCTAAAAAGGAAGAAAAAGCTACACTTCCACTACAATTAGTGGAAATGCCTCCAGAAGCTCCAGAACACTCAATCTCAGTATTGCCAACAACCTAACACACAGCATAATTTACATGCAGTTGAAAAAACTGTTTAAAATCTGAACTTGAAGGTTAACTAACTATTGTATAATAGTTACTGAGTTTCCCAAGAATGTCAGAGCAAGGCTAAAGAGAATGTCAGAGCAAAGCTGACTTTAGCAAAATTTTAAAACAAACAAAGTATATCCTTTCTCCAAAACCATCCTATTGGAGACAATGACACTTGAGGTAGGTGAGGTCATATCAGCTCAACTTGTATCCATCTGCATTTACAGTTGCTACCTTGTAGCATTTCTATGCACAGGTGCACGCGTCTTTCTACCTCATCTTGTTCTCTCCTGTGGCTGTAAGATAAATACTAAAAGGCATGTTTAATTTAATTTACTTTCATCAAATGTTAATCTTCTCAAGACACGCTGGGAGAACAAACACTTGGATAGCAGGAATCTAAACATCATTTTAAATAAGAAAAACAATGGAGCATTCCCAGCCCATTCAAAACCCCAATCAGTTTCTTCAAATGTCACAAAATATCTATTGACATCTATATAACAACCCACCAAGGGTTTTCAGTGACAATGTTGTTAAAATACCTATAAACTAGCTTACCCACTAGTGATTTCATTAAGTGTGTGCTTGTATAGTATCAGCAATACTGAACAGTTTGGATACAAAAATAAGATTCTTTAAACATTGTCTGAGTAGAACTTTGACACTCATGTAGGGTGCAACTCTCAGGAAAAGTGGAGAAGATGAGGGCCATAAAGTACAAGGCATTTAATGGGAGCAGGAGGCCTGAGTTTACTAGAAGAATAACAAGATGACCTGACTCATGCTTCTTTAATAAAAGTATTTGTAGCAAAACAAAATTTTTTGAGTAATATTTGAATACTGATGAATGCCTGTGCACACAGTAAAGGCATTCTTTTTTCTTTTTAAGATGGGTAAAAATTTTCTTTCAGATGAACAAAATAAACAAACACAAGAATTAAGTTTTCTGCTGATCCATAGTTGGGAGGGGATAGGAGAGAATGAAGGAACTTTGGATTGTGCAGAGGGGAGTGAGGGGAGGGGTGAGCTGTGAGGATGGGAAGGACAGTAGAATGAGACAGACATAATTACCCTGCGTACATGTATGATTACACTACTGGTGTGATTCTGCACCATGTACAGCCAGAGGAATGAGAAGTTGTGCTCCATTTGTGTGCAATGTGTCAAAGTGCATTCTACTGTCATGTGTAACTTAACTAGAACAAACTAAAGAATAACTTAAAAAAAAAGAAAGAAAGAATTAAGCTTCCCCCTTTTAGACAAAGGATGTTCAGGTGAAGGATTCTTAACTCACAGAACTTGAAACCCGACACTTGCTGATTGTGTGGCTTTGGCAATGCCACTGGCCTCGGGGGTTCCCTGTCAATAAAATGGATCCCTCCTCCCTCCCCTCTGAGGGAGTCTGGCCAAAAGAGAACGTATAAAATACTTAATGTAGAACCTGGCACATAGTGACTGTAGACCTGAGTAACCTTACAAAGTGGACCCAGCTTCAGCCCTTAGTGACTTTGCCTCACATCTTGGAGGAAGGGTTTTTACATTTGAAGACTTATGTCATGATAAGAAAAAGCTGAATGCATTTACTACATAAGCAGCCAATTTTTAGAGTTGCATATTGTCTAGGACTATCTAAAGCTATTTTTCTCTGTGACCCTAAAATAGACAAACCCCTCTCTAGTTGACATGCATCTCTGAAGGGTCTCCTTGGTTGATCTTTTCTTCATGTCATAAAAGTACTCGGACAGCTCTTCCTCATTTACTATCTTAATATCATGACTTTACTTCAGAGGTCAGCAAGATTTTTCTTTTTTCTGTAAAAAGGTCAGATAGGATATATTTTATGTTACACAGTCACAGAAAGTTTTATCACTTCTCCTCCTGACCTTCCTCTGGCACTAACCTTACAACTCTTTAAACCACTTAAAGACAGTTTGAAAACCATTCTTAGTTTAATAGGTTGAACTAAATGGACTTCAGGATAGTTCTGGCCCAAGAGTTTTAGTTTTCTGATCCCTCATCTAATCCAATAAAGTTCGAACATGAGAAGCTCATAGGGTTTCTCTGGAAAGTTCCCCAAGACTATGGCAGTAGATTCCACCTAATCAAAACATGTAGATTAAACCTCCCCACAGATGAGTGTTTCGCCAATAGTACCTTCTTATGGTAACTTTTAAAAACCTTTTCACTTTAAACAGTGTAATAGCATAACATTTTAACTTTATGGACATATAAAAATTCATCTGTGATAGAATCCATTTTCCTCTTGAATGTGGCTACTCTTACCACTCTTTAAGGATTGACTCCTCCTGCCCTAGTCAGACTGGCAGCTGGCAGGGAAGAATGGAAGACTTCCCCAATAAGTACGTGAGCGGAGTAGCCGTAGTGAAAAAAATTAAGGCAATACATGGGTCCTGAACAATTTGCTGCCATTTACTAAAGCTGCACTAGCCACCGTTGTATTTAAATTGAAAACAAAACAAACAAAATAAATCCAGAGTATCTGAATATGGCACCGTATCTGGAGATCTGCAATCATTTGGCAATTCATTCTGATAGGAACCAACACATATTCCAGGTATGGGATTGCATTTCCTGCTATCAGGACCTTGACCAGTACTACTATCCTAAGGCCTCCAGGATATTAATCTAGTGGCAGAGAATCTTGCATATTACACGGAACAAGGGACCCACTTTACAGCAAAGTCATATAGCAGTGAGTATATGACCATGA